CAGCGAACAGTGACCACCCCCTTCAACCATATAATGGATGTCTTGAAACATGTGGATTGCATTTCGACATCTGATGTGCTTTCTTTTTGCTGGGGCCATCCTAGCAGTTGAGGCCATCCTAGCAGTTGTTTGTGCATGGATCGATATGTGGGAATCTGCACCTGATTGCAAGGGTATCGAATGTCCATCCGACATGAATTGAACATCGGGGTGGTTCACGGACACCCGTCACGTTGACTATTATTATACCGACCGACTGGAACTTAGTGGATTTTGATTGATTTTGTTTCCAAAATCTTGACATATGTCCACGACCCATCTGATCAGCACCCCATAATTAGAATGTGGATGAATGTGGTAACACTGGTAGGCCACATTGCGAGGTCTGGTTGGATGCAAAAGAGAGGTTATATAGATCATGTTGACGGTTGATGAATAAAGCATCCGAGCAGATGGGTTGGATTGCATTTTCATATGGGAGGGCGAGACTGTTCATCGGATGCCGACAGTCTGAGAGAGAGAGAGAGAGTCACGGAGTTGCTATCTGGATCGGTTTCAATGGGTTGCCGAACCATGAAGAGGCTCAATGAAGAGGCGGATTCTAAATGTCTTTTGGGCGACCTGACTGCGCTCCGCAACAGCAAGTCTGTTAGAATGTGTGCTTTGCCTCTCCGAACATTGAGGTACTTAGCCATCGGCCGTTTCCAAAATCGCATTCTCTTCTCTCTCTCTCTCTCTCTCTCACGTCAGCTGCTGCCACCTCTGGAGCACTGCTCCGTCCACCGCTGGAGCCCTGGTCCGTCCACCAGGTGCCATGACCCACGTGACCCGGTCCATCTGGTGCTATGACCCACAGCCATCTCAACCTCCCTCTGGGCTTTCGGCAGATTCCCGGGCGGAGGGCCGACGGAGGCCGACTACACGTGCGGGTGGGGAGAAAAAGGCCGGCGGTCAAGATGGCGATGGTTTTCGGGTGGTCCCAGGCCTGACCAGGAACGGGCGACACCGGGCAAAAGGGTCTCGAACCAAGGAAACTGGCAAAGGAGGCCAGATCGAAAATTCGCCCCGCCTAGTCATGTAATGACCTCCCTGGCGCCACCTTGAGAGCCACCTTGGTAGAACACTGGCTTGACCCTTCGTAGCATCGATTCGATGTGACCTCACCGTCTCGGTGACGACAACGTGCCGTCCTGAACCTCGAACCTCAACGGTCGGTAGCCCGTTTCCCAAGGCTTCGTCTGTTTGGTCTTTCTTGGTCGTTTTAATGTGCTCTTAGTCTTATGACCTTTCTTCTTTCTTTAAGGCCCTGTAGACGATTCCTTTAGGTCTTAGGCCTTTCTACTTGCAATAACATGCAATAACGCTTGTTGATCTTACTTGAAGAAAGCTTCTTTCAAAGGGTTCGGTCACGAGAAAGGCGGCTCTCAGACGAGTTCCGGAGCCACTGGGACCTGTTAAGAGACGGTGGGATTCCACAAGGACGGCCCCCAAGGGCCATTTCAACCAAAGAACTTCAACCTGCAGGGACAACCAGTGCTGAATATCCACGAAGTTTGTTCAAGAAAAATCTTCAGTTGTACACCTGGTGGCCCTCTAAGACCAAAATAGACCTCCGTGCATCTCACCGGATGGATCTTGGGAGTCCAGCGCTGCGCCCCCTTCAGGTCCAGTGGTCCTGTCGATCTCCCAGTGAACGAGGTCATTAGGGTCAGGTCGCAGGCGCTCGCTGCGTCAGCCTTTTGGGTCGCTCGGATCACTGGATGGTCCATCAAAAAAACCAGTCACCATGTGTCGTTGCAGCCACCAGCCCGTGCGGTTCCACCCCCTTTTTTCTGGTGAGATCGGCCAGTACAGCTGGAGGCTTTTGCTTTCAGCCTTCCGAGGATCCGTCACGTCACTCCTTGAAGAAAGGCAATGGCGATGTGACGTTGCGTCGCGTTGGACTGGAGTTGATGGTCGAACCCTCGAGGATTTGCTTCGCCACATGTGTCGAACCCTTCAAGGACGGCGATTTCGGCGATTTCGGCGACTGGTTCCAGCATGATCATGCTTGTCCTCGTCCGCTTTGTATACGATGGAATCCTTAAGAAGTTACAGTAATAAGTTGTCGGCGTGCTTTGGCTAGGAGTCGAAAGTGGGTCTCCAACAAGTGTCAAACAGCCCCTGGGGTGCTGTAAAGCCTCCTAAATATAAGTGGCACAATCCCGCACCAAACGCCAGCCAAACCCGCGTCCTTTCGGGATGGTGGACGAAACGAAACACCAGCCACTTGGCGATGGATTTGGTGGATCAACCGTAGGGGAACCGTTGTGAACCCTGCCCTCGTTTCGTAATGCATGTGTAATCTACAATCATCTACAGTACAATCTATTATCTCCAGCAAAACAAAGGTTGTTCGGGAAACCTGGAGTCAGCTTACTTGGGAAACATTATGAATCATGTTGGAAGATGCGGATCCTGCTCAGGGATTCACCGGGCAGGACCTATAAATTGGACATGTTCTCAAGCAAAAACCATTACAATCCTATTCCTGAACTGGGTCAGACATATCCCTCTAATCCATCCTGACTTCTGCTCGCAGCAGTCGCAGTCGCCAGCACCGAACGCCCGGTGGGGACGAGCCCACCGGGTTGGCCGCGGGTCGGCCGTGCTTCGGCCACGATCGATCACCGGTCTCCGACCGCTGCGGCCCAGTTCAGCCAAGTGCCAGTCTGTTAGAACTTGGCTGAACTAGACTCTCCCAGGGACTGGCACTAGGGTTCAGGGACTGAACCTGAGGTTGAAGAACCTGAACTAGACTATCCCAGTCTGGTAGAATGGTCCTAGTTCAGGTCACTGGCTACCTCTCTTTGTTTGGTGGATGAATGAAAAGCAGGTGAAACGGACCGGGCGGCTCGATGAAAAATATATATATATAACATGTGTATGTAGAAATATTATATATATATATATAAGTATGTGTGTGTGTGGTCATATCTATGTATAAGAGGGTCTATTATACATATTATAGTATATATTTCACTATATATCTGAATGGTCCTATTTACTATGAGATGAAAGATCTATCTATTTATCTATCTATATATATATATATGTATAACTGTATAACCTATGGCAGATTCTAAAGGATGCGCTTCATAAGATCTGAGAACCTGGTAGTCCCTGTAGGACCTCTTCCTCTTGCAGGTGTCACCCTCATGTTGGCTTCGCAGCGTTGTACGAGATGCCTCTGCTCCGCTCGGGAGCGAGCGGGTCACTGCTCCCAGAGGCTTCGCAGCAGCTCCTCCGTCTCACCTCGTGCGGGCGGCGGCCGCGGAAGACGGAAGACGTGGGCGGACGATGGTGGGGGGGAGCTGAACAGCACAGACGAGTCGCTAAGAGTGAAAGATGGAGGGCCGGTCACCGGCTCTCCCTCCTTTGGATCCCCAACCACCCAAAATCACGTCGATGACCAAGCAATGACGTCGATCTCTTGATCTTCATCTTCATAAAACTCCCCCCACTTGAAACACATCTACAGTCGGCCTCAGAAGTTGAGACATCATCGACTCAGTCCGCACGACGGTTGATGGACTAACATCTGAAAGGTCAAGGTGTCTAGGGTGACCGCGGTGCGTGCACATGCGTGCACTCCAGGTGGTTCACAAAAGCGGCCCAGGCAACAGATATGATTTTCCCCGCCCTGCCCTTGTGATGACCCCACTTCTTGCTCAGTCTTTCAATCTAGCAAGGGGTTAGGGGAGCTCCCCAAGCCGCCGCCCCCTCCGGCGCTGAACGGCTTCCAGGACTCCCGACGATGGCCGTACTTCTGCGCACACCTTAGGACCCCACGGCTGACTTCCACCAGGTGGCAGTAGACGGCCTATACCCTAGATCTTCCAACTGCGCAAAGGTTCTGCCTTCTGGTTGGCTTTGGTTCGGAAAAAAGGCCGAAAGATCCAGGCTATATGCCTTCACCCGTGCTCTTCAGCTTTGGATTCCCATCCACCTCCATGAAACCATCGAATTCTCGGTCAATATCCGCGCGGTCAACAGCCCCAGGACGCGCCCAGAATCGCCTCAAACGAAAACCCTGTTGATGGCCTTGTGATCCTTGTGGCTGTTGGCCTTGTGTGGAGTCCTATAACATCAAAGACCTGGAGTCGGTGTTCTCCTGGCCCATCAAGTCGCATTTTTGTAAGTGGAACTTCTGGGAAAATCCTATGAATCCACCCCAACCTCTGCGATTCAAACATCAAGAAGCAGTCTGCAAGCAGTCTACAGCTACCTCACCAGCTGCGCTGCCCATTCCTTGAATCTACCCTAAAACTGAGCACTTGCCTGTACAAAGTGTGGGTCATCTGAACTGCATGGGCATGGGCGTACTGCAAAGAAAACATGCACGCTCCGAGTCATTAACCGTGGAAGCTGGAAAACACCTGCTTGGTATTCGGCAAGGGGATATCCAACGGGCCATGCCATACACTTCCATACTTGTTCCAGGGAGTGTGTATAGGTGTATATGTACATATACACCCCGGGATTCCACCACCATAGGTTGATACACTACAGGACCAGGTCAACTTGAGGTCACCCATTCCTTAAATGGTCTTGGAAGGCTTAGTCTGCATTGCCTGTGTCCCATGAAGCCCCACCACTCCGGAACCACGCCACCGAGAGATCTGGTCCCCCGGACTGGATGGGAGTGCGGCCCAGTGGTGTCTTCACCTGGGGAGGTGTAGCTGGGGGGGTGGTGATGGATCCCTCCTTCACGCTTCGGTCGTTTTCCAATGTCGATCACGGATCATCCATGGTTAGGCTGAGGCTCCTGAGTTGAAGGGACATACTGACACCCCCTGCTGGGCTCTTCAGCTTCCATATTCGTTATCAAGAAAGACACACAAAGCGTTCGGCTGAACATCTTCCAGTCCAACCCCTCCTGTGCCGTCTTGGACAACATAGCCATCTCATGCACAAGTCATCCAACATGTGCCCAGGGCAACGCAACGCCGACGCCGCACCTGCGCATGCTCAGGCTTCACCAGCAAACGCACCACCTCGGTGTGCCCATTCCTGGCGCAGAAAGAGATGGGTTCGAGCAACTCTTCTGGCCGTGGAGAGAGCAGCCAGGATGCTTGGTACTCGTCATATGGAATGTGAAATGTCATGTCACAAAAGAAAGAGAAAAAAAAGGACAATGCATCACCACAATATTCGCAATATCATCTTTGTCCACAAAATCATCCACAACTTGGCCCGGAATTCTGGTCCAGGGCCATAAAAAGGGATGCTCAAGCCCAAACATGTCTGAAAAAGCAGCAGAACGCCCCTAGTCAAACACCCTCAGACCACCCGTGAAGATCAACGGTCCGCGCGAAAAAAGTCGACGCACCGAACGGGTTGGAACCATCCGGCTGCGCCAAAAAACGCCTGACGGCCAGCAAAAAGCTGCACCAGCCACCTCAAGAGCGGAGCGGAGCGGATTGGGGGACTAGTGATGGGACCCTCAAGGGGGGTTTGCAGATAGGCCCCCTCTCCTCAACACCGGGACGGACATATTGACCAGCTGAAATGGTGCTAGGACGGTCAATGGGGCGGCATATATGATGTTCCATACGATGGTCTGGGGTAGGGAAGGAATGCACCGAGCTTGGTCTAAAACATCATGATGCGACTGAGTTTGGAGCGCAGTAAGAGAATAACGTGGTCTCATTGCTTCATGGTTTTCCAGGCGACATGGTACAAAGAAATGTATGCTGACCACCGAAATCACCATCAAAACTCGTGGCACAAATCTCAGAAGTAAGAATAGTTCTTAGATGTCCTTAGTCTTAGTTCTTCAAGGTCTCCAGTAAACTGAAGGGAGAATTCCTTCTCGAGTCAAACCATTGCCCTCTCCCACGCACGCCATGGAAAAGCTGCAGCGCGCAAACACATCTTTTGGCCCACGTCGTTCATGGGTTTTGCGAAAGTGCCGCGCCACCCCACATCTGTCCCGTCTGACTCTCGCGACTAGCGAGAAGTCGAAACAAAAAGCACGGGCCACCATCGACAACCTCGGCCAAACAGGGTGAAAGGTGAAAAGCACGGAGTTGTTGACCAGGAGGCTGGTGGCCTACAAAAGACTCCAATCAAGAGAATCTGCGGGATTTGTTTGGAGGAGTCATCTATGGATGGCTATGGACAATAGCCATAAGTTGCACCACTACGGTCACCTTGTCATTCCCTCATCTCCACGTCGTCATGATGGATGTTTCCCGGGCTGTTGAAAGTCCCCCGTTTGTTCCCTTGCAGTCGTCCGTCTCCGTTCTATCCCCGACACTCCATGTATAGAAGCTTACAGTGGTGTCAGAGTAGATGGCACAGACCGAAACCGATGTTGTAGACACATGGCGGTTCATATAAACCACCGACGTCTTGGGGTCTGTGCCATTGCTCCTCTCAATCCCCAGTCCCTTGAGTCGTGTCCCGTCCCATGAGTCGTGACATCCTGCAGGCGTGCGAACGTCCTCGCAACCGGAGGTGAAACGTGGCGAACGTCCTCGTTTGGTTTACCAAAAAGTCCTCGTTTGGGGAATAAGAGAGGGAGGTCGGTGCCAGGTACCGGATACATCCGGATACCCATTGGTTGTACACGAGAATCCAGGGGATTCTTCCCTCTAATGAACCAACCCATGTGGAAGGGCCATCTACATGGTTTGGATGAGGGGGCGGGGCATGGGTCCGCCAAGACCGTTGCCAGCAGATGTGCTGCACAGATGTGCCATCTCTATAGGCCCTTTTGATGTGACGGCCCCGGGAGTAGACCCAGACCAAGGCCATCGGGAATCCCAAACCTAACCCAACACGACCCATGGGACGGCCGCATTGACCTACATTGGGTGATTTGAGGGGCCAATGTAGGTATATACATTTCACCCACGTGCATTTGGATGCGTTTGGCATGTAACTTACGGTCTTATCTGACCATTCCTGCCTTTGGAGGAGTTAACTGCGGCTGTGAACCAGAGAATTCGATCAACAACATCCAACTATTTTGCACCATCGACATCATCAGCATCATCAACTTCACTTGGTGACCATTCGACACCCAACCAGGTCCCCAAACACCCCTCCACCCCTCCCAGCCAGTTTGGGGCTCACCGAGGAGCATGCGATTCTCCGCTCTGATCAGCTTACATGTACCTCAGCCAGGTGGAACTCCACCGTTCTATCCTAGGGCTCCTGGCCCACCTCCTGAGGATGGGACTGGGGTGGGTGTCAGTGTCTCCAAAGCTCTTGGGGGGGGCAACTCTGCTCTTGGTCTGGCAGCTCTGTGAAAAAAGGAACCGGAGACGGCCTCCACCTCCCCAAATCCAGCCCAATGCCAACGTGGCCCTCCAAAAAGAAGACGCATACCTGGGAAGCCATTCCTTCCAAAAAAGATAGCAGCCCCAGTGGCATCATGCCGGACTCACGGCCCTTGTTCTTCACAATCTCCTGGGTCATCATGTTCTTCCAACCATCGGTGTAGGTCTCTGCAACCTGCTCCTGGACGTTCGCGGTCTCACCAGTCTTGGTCTTGGGTCGCATGGACTGAGGAAAGGAAGAGGACGGCCTGTGACGCTGTACTCAATCTTCGGTGAAGGAGGGGGGAATAGTCTCTCTCTCTCTCTCTCTCTCTCTCGGATTGTCTGGGACTCTCTCCGTTCGCCGTCCGCGGTCCGCCGGCTCTCGTGTGTCGAGGGCCGTGCAGGCCCGAACCGAGGCCGACCGCGAGCGAGGAAGCACCTGAAACCCCCGGCGGGGGTCCTTCAGGTGAACAATGGCCTTTGCAGGATCCAGGCCTTGGCTGCACCGGTCTGCGAAGGGTGCGACAGGGTGCGAGGGGGCTGGCCTGGTCCCCCCCTGCCGCGGGAGCTCCGTTGAGGTCGTCGGAACAAAAAAAAGAAAAAAGGTTTTGCGAGGTCTGAACCAACAGGTCTCTTTGATTAGACCAATGGGGTTGTATAGAAACCCCGGTATACATGGGACCCACCTCCCATTCAAATCAACTGCGCGGGGTTATAAGTTATAAGTCTTCAATTCCAAAGGATGACAAATCTATGAGATGTTTGGGGGGGGCAGTTCACAAGACGCCGGATGAGACGCCGTTTGAGCCCGAAAACGGTTCCTGGGTAGTGGATGGGGTGTGTGCAGTTCACGAGTGGGATGTGAGGGATTGTACAAACACCTAACCACCTGCAGCTATGCCCCGAACCCCCCCCAGGTTCAAATTCCGGGCTTCTCACCTTTCTCGCGGGTCCCCACCCTGAATCGTCCGTGATGACTGGATGGTCGGTGGGCGAGAGGAAGCCATGTTGGTCCCAGCCAGGTGGTTCAAAACAGGCCTCAAGAGTCTCATGGTATAGGTCTCCAGATGTCTCAAGAGTCTCGTGGCAAGGTGCTAAGCAAGCATTGAGGTGACTCTTGTTGCTCACCCTGTGCCATGACCAAGGAACCCTTGGGGCAGCAGTTGGTGCAGTTCATGATGCCGTGGCAGCGGTAGAGCTTCATGGTATCGTTCACCCAGGCCAAACGCTCCTGCGTTAACCCCGCCCGTGGTCCGCGACACGTCGGCGCGCAGACCCCCCGCGCACCACCGTGTAGCTCAGCCCACGGCCCACGGGTTTGAGGGCCCGGTGTTTGGGAGGAAACAGTCAGCATCTCAATTTTCATGGGCTTTGCTGGAGGAAAATCTTGGCGGGATTTTCATGTGTTGCTCTCACCAATTTGAGAATCCATGTCGTGCAGTCGGGCAAGGCCAGGGCTTTTGATGCGTCAGTGAGGGCGAGGTGTTTGGGCCGATTCAGTGGGAATCGAGGTTCTGATTTGGGTCTGATCCAAGGTACACAGAAACGCTGACTCCGTGGCCGTTGACCATCATTGGGTCATTGGGCAATGGACCATCATTCGGGACTCCTGGATGGTCTTTAGGTCCTATGCGCGACTCCGAGAGGATCTGAAAGAAACTTACTTCAATGGGCCGGGAAAGCAGTGTTTGGATATCTTTGGACCTCTAGGGAATAAACAGCTCAAAGCCATCGAAGAACTTCTCCCTCAGGAATCGGCGGCTTGTCTTCTGATGCAACGGTACTCCTACAAATCAAATCCTTATCTACATAAAACGCAGAATAAGCTCCCCTACCAGAATGGTTCTACAATGTTTTACATCTCCATATGGAGGGCTATTGGTCAACCATCCACAATGACTTCTTTCCCACCCCCCGGTACACCATTCTCTCCTCAGTGTACTGATCCCGGGAGTCTGCGATCCAGCGGTAGGCCTCTCTGATCGCCGGTCGCGGAGGTTGGTCATTGCGCAGTTCTGACCGGGCCCCGGGAGTCCACCGACGTTTTTCGTGAAAGAACTGTTGAGGGGGAACGGGTTATAGTATGTTATGGTACTTCAATTACCGTAAGACTGTAAGAGGAGTTAAGCTGGAGAGGTGTGGCCGAAGCGTGTCCTCCATTCCAGTCTCACAATCTCCCCTTGCCACTCTTCTTGGATCTTTATCCTTCTAGTGTTGCCTTCCTGTAGGGACTCTGATGGTTTGTATCAACCTTATCATGGTCACAGCATGTACAGGGCCCCCACTACACTCTGACGAACACATCCCATGCAAGTAGTGGTACACCCCCTGTTTGGAAAGGAAAGCAGTCTTCCAAGATCCACTTCCATGTGATGTGTTCGTCAGAGTGTGCGTCCACTTCCCCAAGAGGCCCTGCGCACGAACAGGAGTTCTGCCCAGATCTGCCTGCATCAGCACAGCTGGGCCCAGGTAGTACTCGGGGTTCCTGGGCGGGGCATGTCCGTCCCCCACACCTTGAGGGACCCCTCTGTCTTGGTCTTGCACCTTGAGGTCGTTGATTGATTTTTGGGGTGGCTGGGCCTGTCTCGAAGCCCCAGCCCCCCCAAACCTATTCCTCCATTCACCCCAAGTCGACGGCAGAAACGTTCAGAAACCTCCTCGCCATGAAAACACACCGCTTCGCGCCGCCCGAGGCTCCACCAGTAGGAAGGGCAGGAGGTCATACAGCAAGCGCACAAAATGCACCTGAGCGCAGGAGGAACAGCTGAATGGCTCAAAGTCAGAACCTCATCTACGGCGCCAAGCGTTCAAGCTTTTACACCGAAGAGAAGCACATGGAACCTGAAAATGACTCCAGTCGTAGAGGAACATCGTCTTCCAGTCTGGTCCATGTTCAGGTTCCATGTTGCATGGTTTCTCACCATCTTTCACCCGCCACCGACCTGGCCTCTTTGGGACCCACCTGCCCATCAGCCACGTGCCACCTACATCTACCACGGTGCCCGGTGAACAGCCCGCGAAAAGGCCATCCATCCGGGTTTGGAGCGGAGAACTCCGGACCAGTGGCCGGCGAGGCGGAAGGTGATACAGAAAAGGCCCGGTGGAATGGGACGAGGAGAGGCCCACTGAACCATGTTGGGGCCCCTTTTCCTTCCAAGAGAGGAGAGACCAGGACCCCTGGTCTGTGGTACATATGGGATGGGCGACAAGACGGGCTGTTCAACCTCTCTTGCTTCTGCGCTGTGATCGGCAAAGACATCAAAAGCCTTGGTCTTTTTCATACATTGGCGGCCCCAATTTCTTGATCGGCTCTTCTTCGATCTTTTGGCCACTCCTCAGCCCCAAATTCGCCCCCCAACACCACTTTCCGAACACCTTCCCAGCAAGGTATATGACGGCTAGGGAAGCGTTTCCGAAAAAAAGACGGCTGAAAGGGATTCGCCAGCTGGGCGGCTCGTACATGCCATCCAGCTTGGCTCGATCCTCGCGGCTCTGAAAGTACTCCTTGTCGTTCTTGCCCTTCACATCCTGCAGGACCAGCAGCAGCGCCGACCGCTCACCCGCGCGGGGTTTGTAAAGAAAAACGGGGTCAGCGAAGGAAGATCAAGGTCCTCTTGGTGACCAAAGTGGCCACGGGTAAACTCTATATATCGTATATATAATGGCTGCCAATGAGTGAGACGTTGCCTCACCTCTACCAGGCTCTACCCCTCCACCCTCTCTTAATTTCTGGGAAGGAACCTCCCTTCCAAAGCACATCAACACCCCCCCCGCCCGGCTCCTTGCGCTTGAGCCAGGGTTCGATGGACTTGTACCTTGGCCGCGCGGACCGAAGACTGGCAGTGACGGTCTGACCCCCAAGTGGTACTCGGTGGCATTCGGTGGCCCCACCCAGCTGGCCGACCTGGCTTTATGGTGCAAAAAGGACTCCCTCAAGGAAAAAGGGACCTGAAGGACCTGAATTCTCGCGACCTGAAGGACCTCGCCCTCATGACCAAAAAGCCCGGAAACACCGAGCTGGACTTCCCATCAATTCCTTTCCCAGATCCTCCCATGCAAAAACTGCTACATCCAGCCATCTTTGTTGCCTACATCGGAAGACTCTTTGATTCTTGGCCGAGACAGGGTTTCCCACCAAAAAGCCCGCAGCATCGCGGAGCCCAACCCCTTTCTCCCTCCATTACTGAAGGGCCCAGTAGTTGTCAGTCACTCTTGGAGCCTTTCCAGGGCCACACACCTCTTTGAGCCCAAGAAGCTGGTTGTAGAAGTTGGTGAGGTCCGGCACCAAATCCTCCGAGCTCGCACCAAACCCACCGCCCCGACTCGATCCCAGCATGACTGGGGCCGCACAGACGGGGACCTGCAGAGAGCCCTGAGACATCTGAGACGGCCAAGTGGCGCGGCAGACCCCGAGCCAGTGGATTTGGTGGTTGCATGTCGTTTCTCCTAAATGAAGGGCCAGCAGTTCCTTGATGTTCGAAAAAGACGGCCAGCAGTTCCAAGGGGTGACTCTTAGGTCCTCCCTTTTGGCCTCCCGACCTGGGAGAAGTTCTGCCTCCAGTCTGCAGAAGCTTCTGGTCCTTCCACCGAAGTGAAAGGCCTCTCCCTGCTACACGTCGCCATTCCGGTCCTTCACCACATAGGTGTGAGGCAAGGGCTGAATCTCAATCGGCTTGCTGCTCTCCTCGATGTACAACAAGCAGGCCAACCCGTTCCTGAGTTCCGTCCCGCGGTGCGCTGAGCGAGCGATCCATGCGCCGGAAGGGCGCACCAAGAAGCGATCCTCAGGTCTCCGTTGACGGATCCTAAGGGGTGGTTGATGGACCTCCCGAATCACCTCTCAAATCCTATGGTTCAACCACGCCCGAACAGGATGCTTACAGTCATTGGAGGGGGAACCCTGCGGGCTCCGGCTGGGTCCTTGAAAACCCGCCAACGCTGGGAAGCTCCGAGCTCCGGGTCCCTGCCTTCTGCCGGACCAGGGCCGGACCAAGCAGCACAAGAAGGAAGTCCCAAGAACAGGCTACAGGCTGTAGCGGTGGAACTGGGCAGCCGAAACTGGTTGAAACTGTTTCAACTGCGCAGGGCTCGGTTTCAACGTGTTGGACCCTGGCACGCCCAAAAGAAGATCCAAGAAGGCCTGGAGGAGGCCATCATCCCCTCCCCCTTCCCCACGATCACCACCCGTCACCCGTCCAAACCCGCGACGGTCCGTCGGGGCGAGGGGTTGCAACAACCCTGACAGAAGTCCAGTTCGACTGGACTTGTGACAGTCCAGGAGTGTTGGACACTCAATGTCCTTTCGGGCCCACCTTTACGTGGCCATTTTTCGGATGGATGAAACATGGTCTTCAGAAAATGGCCTCGCAGGGACCAGGGAGAATGAAGTCCGCCACGGCGCTTTCCGTTGATGTTCATCGCGCAGGAGCCGCAGATGCCCTCGCGACAGGAGCGGCGGAAGGTCAGGGTGGTGTCCACCTCGCGCGCGTGGAGAAACCGCGCCGTGGGGGTGTGGAGAGGTTGGAGAGGCTGGAGGCGGTTCCAAGATCCTAGGGATCCAGTCATACCTTCTCAGAAGGTACGACTGGACCCTCCAAACCTACACAACAGTGTCTCCAAGCACCTTCTCAGAGAGTATGTGGATCCCTAGGCCAACGGCTGGCGAATGATAGCAGTGTTAAAAGAGAGATGAAAAACGAAAGAGTCGGTGTGGTATCTGGATGGCCCTTGCGACTTCTGGATGAGACCATGAAAAAAGAAGGACCAAGTGAAAATACTCAAACGCCACTGGACCTTCACCATCCACAAGCGCTGAAAATCATCCAGTATGCCTCAGAAACAAGACGAAACAAGGAACAATCTTATCATCCAAGTGCTCTATCCCAACAAGGTTGGGCAAATCCCCGCTTCCAACCTCGACTGGAAAAACTTCATCCGTCTTAATCTTCCTCACCACCCCGCCACAACCGGAAAGGATATCCCTATACATGTATACATTACACGGTTTGTGACCGGATATAACTGTTGGTGCCCTTTTTGGAAAACCCACCGTCTTTATCGTATATGCAAACACTGCTTTTTGGCATTCGCTTTAAACTTGCTCAATTGACTTTTGATCACTTTTATGGCCTCCAAAGGTTTCAATCAGCGCCTCAATCGGCTGGCTGCACAGCCCCGCAGGGGCCCCCGGGGGCACAGCCCGGTCGAGGTCCGTGCGCCTCATCCTTGATCTTGATGAGGGCATCCAAGATCATGGGGCCACAGGCTTTCAGGTCGATGGTGTACTCCTGCAGCTGTCGACTGGATCGACTGCAGTCATTGTTCTTCCCCAAGGCCCCCAGACATTCGTCTGGATGAGTTCTACGACCCGGACCATTCCGTCTTGAGAAGATGCTTGGCATCTGGAAAAATAGCTCCCGGATCCGTCCAACGCCGCCACGTCTCCCGCAGCCGTCGACCCTGCTTCTTCTCCCGACGGCCCTCTCCTGCAGGAACGGCTTGGCCTGAACGTCCGGGTCATAGCGGTAGATCCTCGGTAGACCGATCGACGGGCATTGGGTAACGGGGCAAACACGAGGAGCCAACGGTCTGGATCTCAACGGTCTGGATCTGAAAAAGACGAAGGCCTGGATCATGCTTTCCTGGTGGGTTTGGGTGCCGGGCTCAAGAGGAAGACGAAAGAAGTGGCAGTGAAACCAAAAGACCTATGGGTCTACTGCATTAGAAGTCAATGGCTGACATTGGCAAAGTGGCACCTGTGAATTTCAAAGGAGGATGAAAAGTCCCAAAAACCAGAACATTCCCCTCTGAGCTGGCCTCCGGCTTTGCCCCTTTTTGGAACGCATGGTGCTGATGCTCTGACGATCCCTGATCCAATCTCAGCATGAAACTCCAAACCCAAACCGAACTAACTACATAGGCTACATACCAGGACCCTCCAAGGGGTGCCCAATGGAAGCCTATAGGTAGTGTGGGGTAGTCCAGCCAGGACACCCCTTAAAGGCTACATAGGGCCCATCCATTCCCGCTCATCTGCGCCCGGTCCCCCCTCCAGCACACCGACCCAACGTCTGGTCCAAGTCACGCAAAGGCCTGAGGCTTCGCCATGGCCGCGAAACTCCGGGGCAGGGGAAGGCCGCGCACGCCAGCGCTGAGGCTGCGTGGGGCGAGGCTGCGGAAAGCTGAGAACGCCATGGCTGCGGGGCGGAGGCGAGCAGGAGGGCGAGCAACAGGGCGGGCGCGAAGGGAGCGCGAAAGAGCTAAGGGCAGCCTTGAGGTCCGTGAGCCAAGAGGAACCGGCAATGTGGATGTGACTCACTAAGTGTCAAAAAAGAGAGAGAGAGAGAAGGGAAAAGGAGCGCCGATTTAATTATCGGGGCCATGGCAACATCTTGCCGCTGACACCTTTCCCCAGTGCTCCTTACAAGATTCATAAGATTTCACAAGTTTAAGCCGTTCTGAAGCACATGCGTATGGGCAAGCTCTCCAAAAGGCGCCTTCTCAAATCTCTCCCAGCAGCTCTTGAGTTTCATGCATTTTGGGAAACTTCTGCATGGGGAACCCGTGCCATGAACACCAAACCGTGAACATGCTACGACCATACACCGCCGCCACCCGCCCGAACTGGGGTTTGGACTCGGCAGCTTCTTCTGCGCGTCCGCCCCGTGCCGAAGCAAGCACTGGACCTGAGTGCAGTTGGCTCAGACAGAGCAGGTTGCTTGGCGTACCTTCACCCTAGGGCCCTTAGAGGTGGTTTTGTATATATGTTTACATGTTAGTACATAAATATATAGTATATACTCTAGGCTATATAATACTATATATAGATATGCAGCGAACGCCCCACCCCTAGGTCCAGTACAACATGGACAAAACTGGTTGATGTGTGGTCCGATGTGTCTGTGTGGAAGATAAACATCAACCTGAACATACCCTAGGGCTCCTGGCCCTTCTCCTCAGCTTCGGTGGTTCGACCCCCCCCACCCACCCCAGTCCCATCTTGTCAGGAGGTGGGCCAGGAGCCCTAGGGATACTTCATCTTTACCCCTGAGATCGGCCCAGCACCGATCGGTCTCAAGATGCTTCTCCGAACCACGGAACCTCTCCGAGCGAGTCACGTCCCTGCCACGGAGAACGTGACGTCGGGTGACGACCGCCCCTCTCCCAAGCGGCCACGGCCGTCCGGCCCAAGCGTGAGGCCACCATCAGCGGCGTGGCGCCACCCTCCATGACCTGGGTGGTGCTTGTGGCGCTCCTCTCGGCCGACCTCAAGGACACCTCAAGGACCTGGGTGGACACCTCGGGTGGGCCGCAAAAGCACATGGAGCCCGGAAACTCGAGGAAAAAGAGGTGCAGCAAGCCTGGATTCGGCTCGATTCTGCTTGGCTGGGTCATGGGAGGGTCCTGATTTTGGTCATCTGACTCGATCCATGGGAGTTGTGAGGGGTTGTGGGAGCCACCCAATGTCAGGTCACCAGCGCCGGCCATGTCAGGGCTCTGCAGGGCACTCTTCCAGCTTTACCCCAAAAAAGAGTTGGTTTGAGCATTGCTGTGAGTGAGGCCTTTCAGCAGGTCTACAGGTCATTGGGGCTGAACTATCCACCCCAGATCACCCCAGTCTTCCCTTCGACCACTTAAAAAGGAAAAACCGATGGACCGACCGAGTTTTGCCATCTCAAATCCTGGATGTGCCACCATCCTAGTTCACGACTCGAACCAATTAAAATGGGTGCCCCAGGAGCCTATGGCAAACCAACCAGATCACCTCCCTTCGCCGACCCCCTGGCTAGGCCCAGTGGCTGGATCTACGGCGGCTCCGTGGCTCAGTAAGACCTGGCGCAGACGCTGAAAGGGCTCCAGGAAAAGCGGGTGGAGTGAGGGCCGAGATTAAGGACCGATCAAAAGCCTCCCCAGACGCGACCCTGGACCCTCAGATGGAGGGGTTGGACCCTAAGATGGAGGGGTCAGGGGTCTCAAGTCCCTAGGTTTTGAGGGACCAAGGGCTGTTTGGAGCGTCTGGGTGGTACAAATCTTGGTACCTTACAGGACAAGATCGGAACAGGACAAGGATAAAACTGTTGTACGATTCGCGAGTCGGAATTGGTACACTAGTGGTACAAAAGTGTGAAAGAGCATATGAAAGGCCTCCCCCCCTCGAAATTGATCCCAGCTCCGTTCTGCTTTGATAGAATCGAGGGACAAACCTGTTTGGGGTAAAATCAAAGGTGCTGACTTACCAGGTCGAAGCGCAAAAGCAAACCCTTCACATCGCCTCGCGAAACCATCTGCCCAAAGACATCGAGTGATGTGCACCGCAGTGCGCACCGTTTTGAGGGGTAAGCTTGCCCTCACCTGCGCCACAGCAGCAGCGCGGGGAGGCTCCGGAGATCCTGGCGGATTCGAGGGGCACAGTTCAATCTAGTACGAGTCAGAGTGTAAGTTGATCGAATAAGACACAATTCAATCTTCATGGTTTATAAGCAACATATAAGTCAGTACTACTTCTACTACTTGCGGTTCCCATCGGCATCAAATCGTTCAAAACATTGCACACCAACAATGATGTTCCTTTCTCCTTGATCCGTTGGGCTGCCAGAGAACGAATCGATGCATCAAGCCGCAACTACAGCCACTAACGAAGTTCCACATAATGTCATCAAAATAATATGGTGTTAATTACACAATTCCCTTTATGATACAGCAAAAATTATACTATAAATGATGTATATATTCTTTATGTTGTATTGTGTTGGTGGTACTATACAGAATGCTGTACCATAATAAATACGGTTCACCGCTCTTTGACTTCTTTTTGGGTGGGCCCCGGTGCCACGAACAACCGTCCTCCAGCACCGGCCGCCAGGTGGAGTGCCGTGATCTCGTGGCTGGTCACTGCCTGCCGCGGGAGGCGGGGCTTCTTCTCTCGGGGAACGAAAGACGGTGACCTGTCTGGGTCCAGGTCGCTGGGTCCACCCCGCGAGGACGGCGAGGACGTCTCCAAAGACTTGGACCTGTGACGCTATGTCATTATGAAGGACCTTGTGATTATGAAACCAAAGGCGCCCTGAAAGACTCACAAGGACTGCGCCGAAACCGCCATGTCGACGGACCTGGATCGACCGAGGGAAATCGATCCACCAAACCGGCACCGAGGTGACACCGCGAGCCACACGAGTCGGTGAGGTTGGGGATCATGATTCACAACAGACGAGACATGTCGCGCCGACGTTGGACTGGACTTCAAGGCCATGAATTGGACTGGACTGGATCGTCTTAAAGGCCATGTGTCATGTTTCATGATCGTCGACTGGACTCCCAGGGAGCCTCTTCTTCACACAAGCCTGGAAGAATCATGGCTGCGTGGATGGCATGGCCCATTTTTCGAATACCAAACAGGTGGTACCATCCACTTCAATGATGATTTTCAGGGAGTGTAGTACTAGCCCATCCCCTCGTATGGGGTCCCAGTTCAGGTTTCTCAACCTTGATGTGCACTAGAATAGGGACTTCCATTTGTTTATTCCCGCGCGGCTGCACTTTGGCGACTGCCAGAATGGCCCGGTTCGGAGCACGGTTCGTCGCCGGGTTTGACCCGGGACCACTCCAAAGCAAGCGAACCAATCCCCCAGGTCAGGAGGTGCCCCGAACTTGGAAATAGCTCAACCCCACCTGGCTCTTCTTTACCACACAGCCTCGGCCGTCTCAGGGACGCTCCGCTCGGGGCCCCGCACCTCCGGGGGGGCACCGCTCCGCAGGAGTAGCTGGACTACTCGGTTGTCCCCCGCCTTGACGGGAAGTTCAGGTGGCAGGTGGATGAAGGACGCCTATGTTTTGCTGTCAAAAAAACATCTATACCAGGACCCTCCAGTCGGCGTGGTTAATGGACACTCCGAATCACAGCGTTTTGGGGCTAAGCCATAGACACCCCGACAGGAGGGTCCTGGTATATTTAAATCTAGTCTGGATGTAGTCTGGATGTGAAAGGGCCTGCTCGCTCGCTCCATCTTGGCCCTACTTCGCGGAGGGCGCGTCCGTGGAGGTCGATTTCAATGGCACGGCGTCGATTTGGACATCCAACACCCCCCGAGTCATTCGTTCTGGTCGGGGCTATCTATATGGACACCCGGAATCAATGGTGCTGGTACTTCATGTAGACTCTTGATGAAAGAGTCACCCCCCCATCATGAAGAAGATCTCCAATTCAATCTGGGGTGGGTGTATTAAACAATCTACATGACAATGACCTGTTTACAGTCTCATGATGTCCAATTCAAATGGGGGATCTGCATGTGCGTAGCAGGTCTGCGCCTCCAGCGTGGTCCAATTCGGCGTTTCAGGGCGAGACGAGACACTCTCAGAGCGCCCGAGCGGTGCGGAAGCAACGGTCCCCGGAAGCAACACTGGAAGCAACACTAGAAGCATCCTGAAGCAACATAACAAGGTTGTATGTTAGCTCCCTGAAACTCATGCAAGTGAATGGTACCACCTGTTTCGTATCCAGAAAATGGTCATCCATTTGCGGGGCATGCCATCCATGCGGCCATGATTATTCCAACGAGTGCAACCCTGTTCACGACCCTCTCAACCTTTTCACCAGCTCGGACACTTTCCAAACATCTTGAACATCCGGCCCCATGATATACTATATGATTCGATATGATATATACTCATGCATGTCAACGAAGATTGCAAACTGAATCAAAATGAGTAAGGCCTTAGGCAGAGGGGGTGGACCTGTCTCCCCATTGGAAGAACTTCCCTTCTCGGCTCCATTCACCCAAAACGCCCTCAGACACGCCACGCTCCAACCCTCGGCTCCCCCGGCTCAAGCTCCCGGTCTGACCGCCTCGGCGGCCACGTGCAAGGGGCTGAGCACCTGCGGTCGACCCGTCCGTCAGGGGCGGCCCGTGGACCGGCCGTTCTGCGTCGGGACGCAGAAGGGCCAGCTCCACGCAACGAAGAAGATCACGCAACGAAGCCATTCGACCAAAGTCCGAGAACCAAACCATGCCCGACAACCCATGCCTTCTGAAAAACTTGATCACAACCGACCTCGTGAATACACCAAGGATCATGTAGACTCTTGCCTATGATTGATAAAACCATATAAAGACCCCCCAGACATGGCATGTGAAAACTCTGGATGGGAGGTTGTATTATCAAGAGTCCACATGAGGTGGGAAAATCACTTCGGTCCCTATATATGCCTGGAACCCTTTGGACCCCTGTTTTGATAGATAAAGACCATCTTTTGGGTGGTTGGTGGTCCAAGATAGAGGTCACTCAGATTCTAGGTATACCTAGAACCCGGACATGACCTCCGCTTTGATATGAAAAGACCATGTTTGGGCTCCTTAAAGCAGGGGTCAATCAGGTTCTATACATATGTATATATATATATCTCTCTCTCTTAAAACAATAATGGATGCTCATGTTCAGTGGAACCCAAAGGCCCCCAGAGAAAAACACAAGAAAAAGCAAATCCTCCGTTTCAGGGGGTCCTGGTCAGGTTCCTCCAAATCGCCCCCCCAAACTCCCAACTGCTCAAAGCTGCTGCTCGAAGCCGCCGCCGACCCCAACCAACCGCTCCTTGGAGGATGGCTCCATGCCCGACCTGCTGTCGCGGTGAGGGAGTTTCGAACATCGCTGAGGACGAAAACTGGGACCTGTCCAGGCTCTGCGGTAGGTGGAGATGGTGGATCTGGGAGGTGGATGGCCCTGACGTGGACCCCCCTCGATGGCCCTGACGGATCCCCCGCTGTTAGGGACTGGATCGATCCAGCCCTTTCAGCAGTAGCAACCAGGGCAGGGGACACGAACACGGAAACGATGACTCCAATGACTTCAAAGGAGGTCAGTGAGTCAGCTTTGCTTGACTTTGTGGATTTGTTGCTTGCAGTGTGGAAGCGAGCCCTCTTGGCACTGGCAACGGCGTCACCTCTCAGTCTCATGGTGGTCACCTACTCAAATTGAAACATATACAGTGGTTTCAACTGGCTTCGGAGTAGATGGCACAAACTCCTCGATGTCCTTCAGGTGGGGGTTCAAATAAACCACCTTAAGCAAACTGTGCCATCTACTCGGAATCCACTGGATTCGTTAACCAGTTCGAGTTGCACCTGCAAATGGGCTCCACTGAAAGCAACTAGAAACATCCCCAGCTCCACTCACCGAGCTCCCAAGCTTCGCCGCCAGCACCGCCGCCACGTTGGACTCATCCCCACTCTGCACGGCCAAGTGAAGGGGCGTCCATCCCTGGAGGAGAGCAGAACCATTGGGGACCGAAACTTGGTGCGTGGCCGACCTAGACTCCCCATGGAATTGGAAGTGGATGGCATGGCCCCTCAAATGACCAGACCAGCGGCTTTCCACTTCCAACAGGAACAGAGAGCACACTTCCCAAAAAAACATACAAGACTGGGAGCTCTGGGAAACCGTGCCGGGAAACCCTCCGCCGAAGATCTGGATGGGTCCCAGTAAGGGCGTGCGCGCTAAGCGTGAAGTAAGGAGTCGTCGGAACATGTGGACCGATCCGTTTTCAAGGAACTTCCTGGACTCTGCCAAGGAAATACGTTGTCTGTTTGGATGTCTTTGGACCTCTAGGCTGGGCTTGTGCCCAAACAATGCAAGCCAATCTCAGAAATATGTATAATCAAGTACATATATATATATATACATATGTGTGTGTGTGCGTCATAGAGTCGCGCTTCAGTTGTTGGATCAGAATGCCACTCTTCAGTGCATCGTTCCGGATCGTTGTTCTTGGTGCCTCCTCGGTGCTGGAAAGCTGCGCATGGTGCTGCAGCAGCAGCTGGATGACGTGTTTGCTCCTGAAGGTGAGGGGACCCAGCTTCCCCAGTCACCCCTCAGGTTGGGAGGCACTCAGCAACCCTTTGACGGTGACCAGGAGGTCCACACTTGGACCAGCTGATTTATGGGCAAGCAATGCGTTCGTCACATCCACCAACCGCCATTCTAGAATGTTGCAGATCTGGTCAGGGGGAGCCACTGGCAGGGTGTTCAGTAAGCCAGCTGACAGCTGAGCTCCCAACGACTGTGCTAAACAGGTCGGTGAAAAACTCAGAATCGCCCCAGGGCAGCCCAGCCCGCGCCTGCCCGCCTGCTGGGCACGGGCTGGGTGCCTTTCTTGGCTCCAAGTAAGCAAAGCTCCAGGTCACCCAATTCCACGCGCAAACAAAGCACCTCTTAAGACTTCGGAACCATTGGAACCCCCCCTCGAATCCAAGGTTCTCAGGAATGAGGCAAGCCAGATGCAAAGGCGTCCAATGACCCGGCCTCAGCTTTCCGGAGTCCAGCCCCCCCACCAATAAGTAAGCACATGCCACCCCACTGAACACATCCACATGTCCACGACGCATCCCTGCCGATGGATAGCTCACTCCAAAGCCGACCACCTTCGCCGACCACCTTCCTCGGCCGTCCCGAGGGGGTGCCGCCGAGCGGCAAGGACTTCTCGAGGTCAGCGCCACTGAGCACCAGCAGCTTCACCAGCTCCGGCTGCTGGGCCTCCACCGCTACCTGGGCCCAGGTGGACGTGGCGGGGTGGTGCAGTGGAGGTGAGTGATTTGGTGAAAGGGCAGTTTGGTGTCTCTTCAGGTCCCTGCCATCTCTGGCCGACTCTGTTCTCACGACACCTGTGATGTGCGCAGCAAGCTGCACACCAAGCACGAAACGGCCGCATGAGGCGTGAAGACCTTCCTGGGACCTTCTTGGTGGCCTTTTCAGGATTTGTAGGTAACCTTTTAGAGGCCTGAGTCACCTCAGACACTGGAAATCTGGGAAGGTCGGCAGGTCACTGAGAAGGTCCAGAGTCCATCCGTCTGTAACCGGGAGCCCGGACCATGAGTGGCGTCCGTCCGCGTGTGCTGGGTAGGTTCATGGAGGCGCCATGCTCCAGCAAGGTCCTGGGGACCGGGAAGGAGGAAGGCTACGGCTCCAAGCGCGAGACCTCAGAAACCACTCTCCGAAGACCCTATTCACTCCAAGTGTTTCCCTGAGTGACTGCTCTGGCAGCCAATGAGACGAGATCTTTTAACCGGGAGGGACAGAATTGGACCTGAAGTCCCAAAAATTGGTACCACAAGACCAAGGGAAGGCACTGCATCCTCCATGCTCTGCACCCTCCACCAACCAGCTGCCTCGCACTCTTGTCCACCCCAGAAGAAACACTGTTCGGGTCACGGGTTGGACAGCAGACCGGGACGGGCCAGGGCCGGCACTCGGTTGAACGAATCCACCTTCACCGAGACGTCCAGACCCAGGACCGAACCGGGAGGAGGTAGAAGTTCGGTCACTTGGAAGAGCTTCGCTCCTCCAAACAAGTCCCAAAGTCCCAACGACACCGAGGTGAAACCCGGTGCCTTCGAAGAATCCCACCTTCCAAAACGCCCACATCGTTCCACCTAGAATGCACCAGCAAGAACCCACCGGGACCCATGTCCAAATCGAATGCCCCAATTGACCAGAGATAGGAGAGGATGTTTCGCCGGGTCACCGCTGCAGAGTTGATTTCTGGGTCCACTCCCCAATGAAACACCAGTTCAGCGCTCCTTCCGAGCGCTCCATCCATGGTTCCACATCCCCAACCCAAAAGAAACGAAGGACCTCTGGTGATGTGCAATGCATTTGGGTGCGCATGCTCATACAAAGACACCCCTCTCTCGCCCCTGGCTGCGTAGACTGGTCTACGTTTTGGGGTCGGAACCGCCTTGAGCTACACACCCCATTGGTTCGACCCCCTCGGGCCTGGCCACTGCCAACTGCCCGGCCTGCCCGGCGTGCGGGTCCTTCGGGGGGGGTCCTGCAGGGGTCCTGAGGCATCTAGGAAACTGGCCGTAGTTGTGGGAGGTCGGCGATGCGGCCAAAACTATACGACGTGTGGAACGTAAAGCATTCCATCACAACATGTTGGCCAACATGGCAATCATGAACTTGGCGGAAGCGGATTGCTGTATTGCAATGCGACGCCTTCTTTCTGCGGCCAACGACACATGGTCAGCCTCAGACCTGATGAGGCCTCATGTACCTTCCAACAATTGGACAGGGCGGCCTCTTATGATAGCATACCATGCCACACCCTCATGACACCACCAAAACGTTTAAAGCAGAAGGTGGCAAGTTGAGAAGTGCAAAAATGAATGCATCTATATAGCTCATTCAATTCACTAAACCGTGCAAGCATTCAACCTTCAACCCACCATGTGCCGCTTCAGGCGGCCGAGCCACGCCGCTCGCACCAGTCGCTGCGCCCCCCCTTCTTCAGTGCCAAACAAAGAGTCCGGGCCGTGCCGCGCGGGCAAACCCGACGCGACGCTTCGTCGGCCTAATGGTACCGGAAAGCAAGGGCGGGACCCCGACGCGGAAGGGCTACTGAGATATGCTGTATGCGTAGTGTATGTAGGAGTCATCTCTTCCCACCGGGGAAAGGCCCAGCGTGGATTAGGACCGAGTTGAGCCAAAGATTCCGCTTCCCTTCCCTGAGATCGCAATCGCCCTCCAGGATTGAGACAGACGGACTCTCTCAGAAGAGGTTGGTCTTCTTCATGATGCGAAGGAACTCTTCTTCGTTCACCTCGCCTCAGTGGAAGGCACATCGAGATCGAACTCGGCTCCATCCGCAAGAAAATCAGGTGCTTTCCCTCGTCCTTAAATCTCTCTTTAAACAATATATATATATATACTTATACGACTTATATATATAATATTTGCTTTTTGCTTTCCATGTTGTTCAAGTGTTATAATATAACATATATTGGTATCACTTGAACATAATAGGTTATAACGAATAGCATATCATTTCTCCAATTAATTGGTATCACAATATACTCGTGTTTTCAGTATGTTTTTGGGGGTCTCAGATTTCGAGCCTCCCCATGGGAACGCTGCACAATCATGTCCATCACCCACTTTTGGTGGGCTCGGGTGTGAGTTTTGTGGTTGGCGTGCCAGAATAATTAACTACATGCCTAGAATCCGGTTCTTTCTCGGGACAGTCAGGACATGACCCAGAATCCGTCAGCCCAAGAACTCTGAAAAGCACAGGAAGTTGAACTAGGGAGACCTCCCAGGCGTTCCGACCCACCTCAAAGGTTCAGATCGCCCGGACGTCCGCCCCTTCTTTTTCCCCCAGATCGAACCATGCACTGGTGTTTCTGCCTACGTCCATCTATTTGGGACCGGTTTTCCTCTGATCGAATGGACTAGTCGCGCTAGTCGCTGCCTGCTGCTCACTCGCTTCACGGAAAGTGTTTCCCTTCAACCCCCCGACCAACCAACAGAGGTTGAAGGACCTTATAGACTATCCCAGTCTGGTACCCCAGAATGGTCCTAGTTCAGGTCACATGACTTAACCTCTCTTGAAACCCCCTGGCCTCCCCGCCGTCGCCGTCGTTGCGTTGGGCCTCCCCGCCGTCGCCGTCGCGGTCGGCCTCGTCGATCATCTCCTGCAGCTCCTGCAGCTCCCCACGGTGGCGAGCGGTGCGGACGCGGGAGGGTGGAGAAGGTGGAGGCATGTGGATGCATGTGGAGGCGAGACATGTGGAGTCAGGTGAAAATGGGTTCAGGACGTCGACCTCTTGTTCAAGTATTTGGGGGGTGAGTTTTCGGGGATCAAAGAGAAGTTTTTCGGGTAGCATTTGGACTCAAGGCGCTACCCACATGGTGCAAGGCATGTTCCCAAAGGGTTTGAGTGAAGGACCTCAGAGAAAGGATCCTTGGTTTGTTGGACCTGCCAGCACCCCAGGAGCTGCTGCTTTGAAAGTTGAGACTTCTAGCGGATCTGAATGGGACATCCACGTCCACGTCGGATCTGGGCACCGCAGGCGACGAACCACGCGACTCCACGTCTTCGGCTGACACCACCGCTGCTGGTGGGAGATTCGGAACAACTCCGACTCTGGCCGGGAGCCATGTTCATCCATTTTCCACTGGTGACCGGAGTGTACTGACCCCCAAGCACGTCACTTCCAGGTCACGTGCTCCCACGTCACCCTCACCCTCACCTCTTGTCACGTCACCCCGCGTGTGGCGCTCCTCGTCGGTCATGCGCTCGCCCAGCTCCTTGGCCACGCGCTTCAGATTCCTTGGAGTCGCGCGGTTCGGGTTCGGACGAAGTGAAGGTGTCTGGCGAACGGCAGTGGAAACCACAGGCCCCAAGAACAAGGTGTCTGGAGGTGTCTGGCATAGGGTTTTTGCATGCATTATTTCTTGCAGGTTTTACCCTTCCAAATGCCACAATCATGGTGTAATTTGTGCCTTGAATGTCCAACACCCAAACTCTTTACTACAAGTGCTGCGTTTCTCTCGATCTTCATCTGGGCTTACACCCAGCAATCCATCCCAGGGCCGGGGCCCTACCGCCCTACCTCTCCCTACCAACCAGCCTCCTACCTGTCAACATGGTCCGGGACGAGCGACCGGTACGACGGCTGCAGGTCGACTGGACCGACGTGAAGGTCACGTGCTGCTGCAGGTCCGAGATCCCCTTCAATGGGACTCGGTTCTGAGTCGACTGGACCGACTGAGGGTCCAGCTGTTCAAGGTGTTCGTGAATTTGGGGAGACCTCCCAAAGCTGGAAGATGGAACCTAGACCAGTCAACCCGCTCCAGAGAACGGGGGTCTCCCCACGAAACATATGTCAACCCATATGCCAGGAGTCACAAGACGGGGTGGTGTTTAGTCCCCAAGTGAGTGGATGTTCTGGGCACCCCAGCCACCTCCATGGATCGCACCCCTAACCTCCATGACTGCTGGTGGATGTCCTTCGAACCTCCGTTCTCGAGCCACCTCGGTCGCTCCGACCGTCTCTACCGGGGGGCTTGAAGGAGATCTTACCCGTTTCATCGTCGTCGAAGAGGCGGAAGGCCTTCAAAATCTCGTCCTGCGAAGCTGAGAGACAAACCCAAGGTAGTTGGGGGTGGTTGGGGGGGGTGGGGGGGGTGGGGGGGGGGCCTAAGCCAAGCCCCAACAAGGCCAGATTTGTCAGATCCTCTCCCCAAAGCCAAACATATGAACAAATGCCGTGTTCGATTTACATCGGTCTGATCGCCAATTGAGCTGTTCACGAGTTGCAGGAAAGGGACCCACGACTCGGCTCAGTCCCAAGAGTCGCTCAGTCCCACCGCGCCGACGAAACCGAGAGGTTTCAAGCCCAAGCGCCAGCCGTCCGTCGACCCACACGTGGTCCGAGGTCGATGCAGGCGATGCACCTTGCTAGTATAGTAGCTTCTTGGCTCCTAGTAGCAATGCCCGCCATCGAAACGGAGGGCATCGGGACGGATTCGCCCCGACGCCTTTGGGGAGTCGGGAGGAGTCGGGGCCTTTGGGTCGCGGTTCAGGATCTTGTGGGTCATCATCTTCAAGAACTCCTGGGAACCCGAAATGAGTCGAGAGGAGAGGAGAGGAGATAAACCCGAAATGCGGTGTGAAAAAAGGCCGCACAAGGCCGCAGACAAATGGTTTTGATCGAAATGCTTGGAACAAAAGAATACGGAGGTGGAAGCAAACAGGGAGGGCGCTCATGCAGGGGTCTTTTTCTGGTTTCTTTTCACATCGCTGGCCGGAGCCCGTCCGGCCTCATATCCGATGGTCCCTGAGCCATCATCATCCACATCGGAGATCATCTTCTGAATCTCCTGAGGTGACCCACACGCGATTCACCACGACGTGGGTGCTCTCCGATCTGCGATCTCCGATCACCGGGGTGGTCTGGGCTGACTGGTGAGGGTTGGGTGATGAAATGATGAAGCTGAGATGGCTATACGCATGGTTTGGGAATTTGGGGTGGCAGATTGACATATAGGTGTGCATCACAACATCTACAGAGGCGATCAAAAGTGGTGCCCGTTTCATTCGTGAATCTGGAGTTTGCCACAGTGATCGGCGCTCGGGCCGACGTTGAATTGCTCCGCAGAATGCACCACCACCTCTAACACGACTGCTCATCAACATACGCTCTCCTTTCATGTCTCGATTTGGCCTTGCATCCTCTATATCATTGTACTTGTGAGTTGCGGATTTGCATGCTTTTACTTATTAAGCATGTGACTAGTGGCTATGAAATGTCATGTATGGGATAGGCTCGCTATAGAACGCATTTTGAAGGAGGCCAACAGTTAATATGGAATGTATATAAATATACGCAATATATATTTATGTATATGTCCTCTTATCCGTTGAACAAGGCATCAAGAATGATGGTCACCTCTTCGCTACCCTGAAAAACCGAAGTTTAATCAATTTCATGCCTGGCGTGCCTAGTTACTCAGCTTGCCTGCTTGTTCCGCAGCCAGAGTCCAAGCCAGGCTTAGGCTTTGTGGGATGTTGGAGAAGACATTCGATGTAGTATACAAATGATGCGCGTTTTTGACGATTGGTTCCGGCAAAGGGCCATGGGAGGACCGTCCGTGCACTCCAGACACTGTCCGTGCAGTGTCTGGGAGAGACACGAGACTCGGACGTATGAGAGGTGAATCTCAAACCTTTGGCACTCTCCGAGAAACACTCGATACAGTAGCTGATGATTCACTTGGGCACGGGAGGATCTTGAAAAATATTGAAAAGCATTTGATGCCATTATTAGTAACAAGGATGCTACTAGTAGCTCCTGGCATTGCTACTAGTAGCAAGAAGCTACTAGTAGCAAGAAGCTACTAGTAGCAAGGTGCATCGCTACTAGTAACTAGTAGCGAGGACGCCACTAATAGGTGCTGCGAGTCATCACGCATCCTCCATCCGAGGAAGGATGTTGACTTTGGATGTCCAACCTTTGAACATGCATCCGCCTCTTTTTTTGCGAAGACGCCGAGGATCAAGTGTGCCCTGGTCGGGACATCATGGCTGTTCAAGGTGCCCTCTTTGACTTCGAATTTCTGACTTTAAACTGTGCTGAGAGAAGGTTGGTGCACAACCCTCACAGCTGCATTTCACGGGTTACGTCGCGCCCAAGCCAGCTGTAGCAGTTTCGATGCTTGAAGAAACGGGTAGCTGGAGCAGGGCATGATCCAACTGAGTTAACAGCTGACAGTTTGAGGGTAATCCCCAAGAAACACAATGGCTTTCGGACGCGTTCCTGACTACTAGTGTACAACACTTGAGATGCTTGGAGGTAATCAATGTGCTGGAATTGCCTGTTGAACAAGGGGCTTCAATGTGCAGGACTTTATTGATCAAGCAATCTCAAAGGTGTTCTCATTGCGCCCTAATCATTGGACCGCGCAATGCTAGCAGGTGGTTGGAGGAAACTCTCAGTCTTGCGTAATTGTCAATGACCCTTGTGTAGAATCGAACACCAAGCATCCAACCACCAATGTTTGGCGAACCGCAGCACTAAGACTGTGCTGAAAAGAGGTGAGACAAACTACCACGAGTTGGCGGTTTTCGCAAGCTGCCAATGGCCAAGCATTCTTGGCTCAACTCATCTCCTCTGACTTCTCCGAGGACGGGCCAAAGATCACGGGTCGAAAGGATGGGTTGCGGATACGCTCCGTTTTTGGGCCAAAGCTCTTCGCATTGGCGTCGCGGCCTTGCACATGGGCCGCGCAAAGCTTCAAAGGATACTCTTTGGCACCCAGCCTGGTAGTGTTGTGCCAGACTGTCACAAAGTCCTTCATGCTTTGGATGTCCTTCAGGTTCAGAAAGGCGTAGCCCAAAGACTTGTGGTGACCGCCGGTGAAGTTCCCTGGCATGTAGAAGAAGTCGTAGTTCCCGCCAAAGCCCGTGTTGTCTATCTCATACATGACCTCTGGTTGGTGGAGGCTTGTTGGGAGATTCTTGATCATCAACGTGGTCACTCCATCCCTGGCCAGTTCCTCCGCCCACTGGCGGCTACTTGGATCGGCTGCCTCGCGCATGCACGCCAAATTCATCATATTCAATTTGTGCTTGAGCCGCCTTGCTACGGACATGTGCAACCGCTGGATGATCTTCTCTGGTAGCGGAGGTAACGGCTCCTCAAGTAGCACTATGCTCACGTCACCTTCTTCTGGCACCCATAGGCAAAAGGTGCTGGAGAAGATGTGGCAAAGATTGAGCAAAGCTTTGCAAGCAGGTTCTCCAACTCCTGCACCTCGCAAACATTCCGTGATGTTGCCGAGGGTGGCCGGCACTCGACTGTGGACCAAATTCTTGATGACCTCCGTGACCTCGGATGTGCTGAAGGACTGGGGAAAAAAAAGCAAACAAACAAACCTCCCGGACAAACAAACAAACCTCCCGGATTCATATAGCATTCGTTTTTGCCAAGGAAAATCAAGCTTCCCAAAAAATGATAAGCAAAACCAGGTCACGCGCAGCTGCAAGATTGCCAACTGCGAAGCAGTGACTCCTTTCGGCAAAGGCTTCATCTTGAGCAAGGCACCGATGCACTGCCCACGCTGAAGCTCTGGCCCAACGGGCGACCGGCGGCCTGATGGGTTGCAAACCAAATGCTCCAGCTGGAGTGAAGGCTTTGGAAGGGCATTCTGTGGAGCTGGGACAGGTTGTGCACCTGGCATGGGAAAAGATGGAGCTGGACTCTCTTGACTCGAGGTCACGTGATCAAACAGCTTCAGCACACTGGCGTGAAGATAGTGAAGATTCTCAGGAAGCTGAGGCTCCATGGAGCCAGTTTCCTCTGGCATCTCGGGTGGCATGTGACTGTCTGGATGGCCCAGCTGCTGGAGCCTCTTGGCAAATTGGCAAATTTGAGACAAGAGTTGCGGGTCGCGATTGACCTTCTCCAGCTCTTCATCCCCGGGTGGGGTATTCACAGGTCCTGGTGCCCTGGTGGGCGTCTGTGATTTGGCTAGGTCATCAAGCTCACCGTCCTCCTCAGAGTCCATGTCCATGTCATTGCCCTGAAGAAACATGGCCACCGCGTGGGTCACGTCACGCTCAAAGTCCTCGTCCACCTCCTCACACTTCAGTTCCTTCCACGAAGTTGGTTGTGACGGCCCGAGCTCAGCTTGCCCTTTGGGGGTCAAGTGTGCCAAGCTAGGATCGCACCAGTTGGTGCCTTCACCCTGCCAGCTTCTCTGTCCGAAGCTAAGGTTTGACTCCGACATTGGAACTGATTCCCCCATCATTCCACAACCCTGGAAGCCCTGGAGTTGCTGAAAGGCGTGCTGTGCATTGTCCATCGGGTAGCTTGCCACATGCATCGTAGGTTGAGCCTCTTGATAAGCAGGGCCTACACAACTACCGTGACAGGGTTGCTGCTGCTGTGGGTGGTACATGTCTACCGAGCAGGCTCCATTGCCTCCCCACTGCGGAAGCCTTCCGTTCCATCCATTCTGTGGAAGGTGCTGCAAATGACACGCGAGGAACATGTTGCAATTCGGTGTCTTCGACTAGAATCGTTCCACGTGGGACCCGTCCAGCTTGAGCCAAGGTGGTCTGTGAGACGGCCATCTGCAAGGTTGGAACGGTCACCGTTGGACTGCCTGTGCACGTTGGACTCCGTAAGAAAACACAGAGTCAGTTGCCAATACTAGAGATTGAGCAGTGATGGTCTTTTGGCACTTCTCAAGCACGTAAGTTGGAGCAGCCCAGCTACTTACGGCAGTCTCAAGTGCCAAGAGACCGGTAGTGCAAGGGGTACCTACCAGCGACCCTCGGATCAGGGCTCTCACTGTCTCTACCGTCCTCCTTCTTTGGCTCAAAGCCCAGCGCACGCATGGCGACCTGAAAACGCCCAGCAAAGGCAGAAAAGAGACCGCCGAAGTCACCGAAGAAAATAACCACACTGGACCGTGAACCACCAGGATTTCATCCGAAGGACCTTTCCTTAGAAGTCCTCACGTGGTGCAAGGCGAGACTGCAAGTCGGACGGTGGAATGGGGATCCCCGGTCAAGGCCTCTTTTTGCTCAAGAGAGGCACGGACCCCCAAATAGATACAAAAGTAGATCCCCACTAGAAATGTATTGGAAAGTGTTTTTATCTACTGACTGTGGGACCACTATATACACTTATCACTTATCTTGGAAACCTGATGAGTGTGGTCCATGGACCACACTGACAGCTGTCTCCTGACCGACGATCAGCCGCTTCCGCCTCCTGTGAGCGTCACCTAGATGAAGACAACCCTACACTGCAATCATAATTAGGCACTTGTAGGTGGAGGTTTCCATTGGACTTGCTTGGAAGCGTGGGAAGGCCGCGGCCGTTTGGCACTCTGAGTCATTTGGAAGTAGAGTGAAACTAGCTCTATGTAGAGAAAAACGCTCTTCCAAGGGGGCCACTTACTTCTGTCCATGATACCCCATGGGCCATGAAGTCCATCCGGTCGCATCGTCCATTCACTTCCATGACGATGACGGACGCCGTCGGTCGCGTGTCGGGCGAGTGTCGGTCGCCACGTCGCCACGTCGCCACGTCGGTCCCTCACCTTCAGCTCCTTCGAGTCGATCTCTCCCGAGCCGTCCGTGTCGAAGAGGTCGAAGGCCTCGGCGACCGACTGCCCCGGGAGGGTTCCGATACCAAAAAAAGAAAGCGGTCGGCGACCGACGGTGAGTCCGCTCCAGTCCATCTCTGCCATCTCTGCCATCTCTTCAGCCCCAAAGATCCCCCTTCCAAAGAAGATGAAGGTCCAAAACTTGGGTTCTTGCTTCTAATATCTTCTAATGACTTCTTGTTTCTACTAGTAAGGCACTTGTTACTAGAAGCGATGCACTTGTTCCTAGTAGCTTCTTGTTTCTACTAGCTTTGTGAGGAGGTGTCCAGATCTCTTGGCACGCCTCCTTGATCTCCTGCTTCTGCTCCTCGGACCGTCAACGACCGTCGAGTGGCGGTTTGGCGAAGCAACCACGCGTACCTGGCGCGTCCTGGCGCCCCTGGGGCCCTGGTGCTGAAGAAAGGTGGAATGAAGTAGGCTGTGCTCAGCCAAAAGAGGGATGTGACACCAAGACGGAAACACCTATTGGACCATATTGGACCTACAGCGTTCATGGTCATCCTTGAAGAGCACCAGAGGTTATGTATTCATGCCCCCATCACGCCAACTGTGAGCCAGTGCGCTCCCCTTTTCTGTCCTCAGTGAGCTCCTTCTGCTTCTTTCCACCCGCATTGAACCGGCGCAGAGCCATCAGGACAAGAGCGGGGTCTCGTCGGCAGAGGCGGCTCGGGCCAGAAGTCTCTCCGTCCGCCGCGGTGTCGCGCTCGGCGTTCAGCCGTTCGGCGGAACTTCCACCGCGCCGTTTCACGGCGCGGTGGAAGTTAGGCATGCATTCTCAGTGGCGAAGCGATCTGAACATGCTCAACTCCCGAGAAAAAGAGGTCAAAAAAAAAGGGAAAACACCCACGACATGTCCCAAGTCCCGCTCCGAAGACTCGACGTCTCCCGCGACGCGTGGGACCCCGAAGACGTCTTCAGTCCCCGGGCTCCGGTCCCGGTGTGCCTTACACGCCAGGTGCAGCGGGGTCCACCCCGTGTCCGTCACGGAGTCCAAGGCGCTCCGCCCGTGCCCTGAGAGGCCGGAGAGGAGGGGCTGAGGGGAGATCGGAGGGGAGGGGGAGGGGTTTGCAGCGGGGGGGCATCGGTCACGGTGCCCCAAATGGAGAGCAAACCTGTCGTTCATTCATTCGCAACGTTGCCTCCTTGCCATTCCTTTCCTTCGGGAGCGGGCGGAAGCTCTGGAGCCCTTGGGGAGCAAGTCCTAAGCCCTTATGTCCCGGTGCAGTTTTGGGCCCCCCGGGGATTTCCAAGCCCATGATAGACTCCAGAAGGTTACCTGGGTGAAAATAACTGTATATAGAGCTTCTGAGCAAGCTCAGTTAGGAGTATTTCCCACTAAGCTTACGTCTGGCTCTTTTTGGAAGGTGTGTCCTTATCAATTTCTACTGAACTTGAGTGGTCAGATTAGGGCTCCAATGATTGAAATGTTCAGAACAAAGGCACGAATCGAACAAAACACTGCTGGAGGCCACTCGAAATGGCTGCTCGAGCCGCCCAAGATCGCCAAACCGACCTTTTTCCGTGGCTTTGGATGCAGATGGCACCAGCCTTCGGCCTTTACAAGGCGGGCACCCGTGCGAATTCATGCATGAATCTGTTTGAGTGGACCCATGAGAGACCCAAAACGACTAAACGACCCACTTTCTCCAAGCCCCATTCTGGGGTCGTTTGAGTGTGGGAGAGTGCATGTTTCGAGCGTGGCATGTGCACGCGCGAATTTGTGCCGCGTTGCTTTGGCCAACGCAATGGGGATTTGTCTGTCACCATCTGTCAGCCATCTATCTCATAAACGCCATGTGAGGAGATTGGTTGATAGGCTTTGGTGGTAAGAATGTGCTGGTTGTCGGTCAGATTTACCTGCATGGGGCACTTGAGTGTGGAGGATAATGCACAACTTTGGATCGGCCTATCTTTCCTTAAGCACCAAAAAGGTTGCCAGTTTGACTCTTTGACTGGACACTTTCCAATCTAGACTCTAGACCTTGCGTTACTCTATGTGCTGAACTTGCCGGTCACTCGTCCCAAACAAAGAAAACCACCGCTTCCACCGATCCACCTCCTGTACAGGTCGTGCGACCGCCTCGAGCAATGCAGAGTTCTATGCATCACCAGCCTTTCTAACTGGCGAAGAGTTCAGGGATGTGAAGTCGGTGGTCCAAGATCACCTTTTAAAATTCAAAAAAATCACCTGGGCAGTTCACTGGGCGCTTCTGGCACAGCGGCGCCCAGTAGGACAGCCTGCAGGGCTGTCCAGGGGGGCGCAGAGTCGCAACCGAAGATGGGCTCTGCAGAATTCGATTTCCTGCAAGGCAGCTCCTGCACAACTGAAAAGACCTGCTCCTCCTCGGTTCAGAGTCTTGCATTCTTACCTGAGCTCCGGAACCGCATGTTGACAGATGTGTTGGGCACAGCGTCAAAAACTGAGCGGAAGAGAAGCGTTTAGAGGTTAAACAGTGTGTATATATGCACATGCGCGTGCTCTTTTTGGATGAGATGACGCGAGATGTAGAGACGTAGTCTGTGGCACTTCCTCCGTCGCCCACCTGTCAAAGGTGGATCTCTTCAATCGACTCTTGCAACACCGCGCGGCCCGGCCGACGACTGGAGCTCGTAGCGATGCTGCTTCTTCGCCCGCGAGGTCTCCAGCAACCTCCGTCGACGTCCCGAGCTTCAATTTGGACAACATCTCCCACTCAAGGTGGATGCTCAAAACGATGAGAGTGGATTGAGAGCAAATGGCACGTTGAGAGCCCCCAGGCGGTTTAGTTTGTTGTGTAGCCCCATCTAAATATCTGAAAGACATCTTGGGGTGCCAGTGCTATCTACTCTTGAAACCGCTGCAACTAGACTGGCATAGCAGCTCATGAAGAACGAAAGCGGGCCTACCCAAGCGATGCTTGACCTCATGACCGGCTCTAAAAAGTCTCCTTCAGGCGAATCTCTCGTTCCAAAAGGTCACTTTTAGGGAGCTCATCGCGTCAAGGGCAGAACCATCCTGGTTCAGGGTGCCTTGTTGATCAACCGGCGGAATCGACCTACTCCCATCCCCAAGACGTCCAATGACCGAAGTAGACCGAAGTCATATCCACCACTGTCCTATCCCCTGCGTATTATTCCCTAGGGCTCCTGGCCCACCTCCTGAGAAGATGGTTGGGGTGGGTTTGGGGGGTCTAACCACCTTCTGAGGAGATGGTTGGAGCCCTAGGGTATTATCCAATCAGTGCAACCAAAAACCGTTCCAAATCTACCAAGCCACTGTCGAAATGTCTGCTCCACGACTGTTCCAATCCACGTGATCATGACATCCGTCACGTGAGAATCCACGTATTGGAAGCCCACCGTCTCCTGAAAAAAAAAAGAAAAACGAAAACCTGCTTGCCCGGGTGCTAAGAACAAGAAGTCCTTTTGGCGACCCGGAGCAAAACCCGGGCGTGTTTGTCCACCTTTTCTCAGGCGAATTCTTGCGAAGGGAGCTTGACCTGGGACCCACCATCAATCTACTGTAGATCTATTCAGTCTGGCTCTCGCCCTCCTCCCACCTGGTGGGAGGAGCGTTCTCTCGACCCGTTTCCCCGCAGGTGACTCTGAGTGGGAGTGCACGAACTTCTACAAGCTTGGCTAGAAAAAAGGGCGGTCAAACCGAGCCTCGCTGTTGAATGCGGCAGATGGCTCTCAGGGCGACGCTCAGGCGCCCGGCCAGCAACAGCTAGTAACATGACTGACCTCCAAGGGCCATCCTCTCCTCTAAGAGGCACTAGCAACAACTAGAGGCACCCTGCTCGCCCTGCTACTGTTGGACACATGCGGTCTGGCTCAAATGAGGCGCTCACCGGCAGCAACAACAACAAGCTGTTCGTCTGTGCTCGGGTCCGAACAACGGTCTGACGATCGCAGTCTCTTCGTGTGGGGGCCATCGGAACGGGATGCACTCTCTAAAATCTCTAAGAGGGCTCACGAAGAAACATGAAAAAATCGAGGGATCCGTACCGAACCTCAGGTTCAGTGCGACCGGACCCTCCAAACCAGCTACACTGTTAGTGTCTTCTCACATCACCGTAAACCTGAGGTTCGGTACGACAACGGATCCCTAGAATTATGGCGTGTACCGTGGTCCATTTTCTCGACTCGCTTTACACAAGTTGGGGGGACATCGGGGACCTGCCGTCACACTCTGATCCGTGGCATAGACAGACATGCAGCTAGTCTCCATGTTTGAATATGATAGTAATATGAAGCGATATGATGTGGTAAGATGTCCCTTCACAGCCTTATATAACCTCTGGGGGGGAAAGTATTGACTCCTCAACGTGCCGAATATGTCTTCAAGCGGTTTTGTCCCGACTCCACGTGAGGCATTGAGCTCCTCGATCATCGATTTCCTTAACTTGTGGCGCAAATGGCTCAGCACCAGGGGAGGGAAAAAAGAAAAGTAGAGAATTCACACTGCAAGACCACAAATCCGCACAATGCAAGTGTCACTTTGCGTTCATCCTCCACCGCCCACGCTTTGGCTTGCTTCGAATCCACCTGACTGAGGGATTCGATCACTTCGTCGATGCCTTCGGAGCCCGAGGCGATGTGCTGTCGCAAGCGCAATGCGGCAGCCTTCGGCATGATGAATTGCACCTGATGAGGTGGGTGCAGAATCATGGGACTGTGTGTTGCGGTTCTGGAAGAAGTCAGGAAATGCTGCCGATGAAAACAAGCGAAACTGACTGAGGCAATACTCCAGCCCAATGAAAACGAGAAAAGCTTGCTGATTTCCTGAGGCCCCGGCCTCAACTTGAATTGTGGAGGCCACATACTGCTCGTAAACGGTCCACACTCGAGATAAATACACAGGCTGGTCCCATGTATCTAAAATGGCGACCATCTTGCCGATCCGCTTGAGGTTGCTTTCAAACACATCTTCCAGATTGTCGCTCCCACTGCTAGTCTGTTGAACTATGATTCGGAACTGGTTGTTCACAAAGAAGCACATGTAGAAGTAGCAATGAAAACCAGCAGTTCTGTTGTGGAACATGTCCAAGGCGCATCGAACCTGCAGCAAGCACTTTAAGCGAAGGGTCCAAAAAATGTAGCCAAGGGATTGTATCACATGCTTTGACGCTCAATCCAGCACAATCGCAGAGATTTTCCGCTAAAGCTGCCCCTACCCCCCAAACAAGTTAGTGCCAAAAGTCAAATAACGCTGGACCAAACTCTCCCCATTCGCTGCCCCACTTCCACCTGCTGCAGGCTGTATTGCCAGGTCCAGCTCAAATAGTGCGTCTGTTCGCGGCGCTCATCAACCGGCATCCAATCCACCAGAGCGCAACCCGCTTGGCCGTCGCGAGGGCAAATGATGTCTTGGCCGATGGGGTCCTTTGACAGCCAGAAGGCGCTCTTCATGTCCTGAGCTGTGGCAGGAGTGTTCAACAACGGTGGCTCCACAAGCCACAACGCAAAGGCCCAGGCTGTGAATCGCACACTCGGCTGTGTCTCTCCGGGAAGAAAGAACCCAGGCATCAACGGCGCCCCATCTCCACCCGTCCCATCCAGCGATGGAAGGGGGCGTTTTCTTTCAGAACCTGTGCGGGGACAGGAAGGTTTGATTTGGACTTGTTGCGGTGCTTATGTGCAATGATTTGCTGATGCGTCAGCTTCGTTGCACCCTCCCTGAAACAATCATGAGTAAGTGAAAAATGGCCGCTGGGAAGACCATGATGATATCTTGATATCCTCTACATGGCCGCTGGGGTGAACGTTCACTTCCATATGATGTGTTCTGTTTTTTGTTGTGTTATGTCTTCTCCGGCTTTTTCCGGTTGTTCATGTCGGTGAAGTATGTAGGTGAAGAAATGCGACTCTTCATGTGGTGTGGCCGCTGTGGCCGGTGTGGCCCAACAACAAGCCCAACAAAAGGTACGACGACCGTCGGAACCTAGGTGAGGACGACCGTCGGTCTATCTCGACGTGTAACCTGCCCTTCCCATTCCTTTTCACTGTGGAGATTTCCATTAAGGCTCTAAAAGTTTCTCTGGTCTAGGCATCTCTACTCTTTTACCCCGAAATAGCTGGATGCTACTTCTGAAAGCAAACCTCTCTCGCACCTGTTCTGTTTGCGTCTTATCACTTGAAGCCAAGAAAAGCCATTCCCCTCACCCATCCTCACCTTGCTTCTCTGGCCGCCAAAGGGTTCTTTACATACTAACAGGCGACTTAATGGTGTCTAGCCCCCAAAAACCAGGCTATGGTATCAAGGCTCTGGATGATTACCAGCAACAGTGGATGATGATGGTTAGTAGAGGCCTTAATAGGACAGGTAATAGGACAGACCCCATCTATACTCTATAGGGCCGCGGGCTGATACTGATACACTCCCGAGTCAACTCACATAGACCCTGACTGTCTGGCCTTCCAGAGTGGTTTTCTCTACCAACCAGTCTCCAGGGTGTGGATACGGGCAACTAGTGGGGGACCCCTATCGACCCCTAGTAGTTGAGGGTATGATAAATGATAAAGGTTGACCATCTTTGCGACCACCAAACACGACAACTGAGTATCCATAAAGGTGGGGTCATCTCTGCCGGTGCGTTGCATGGCCAGTTGGGCAAAATCAGCTGAAAGGAGGTACCTCAGACTCACCTGAGCACGAGACAGCAATTCAGGAGAATATGCATTCTGAACCATGAAAGAAACACAGAAGGTAGCTTCTCACTTTCATGCCAAGGCAGAGCTATGTTACAGTAAATTGCCACGACCCTCCACTTCAATAGCTGCTGCCCAGGAACACCGGCTCTTTTACTCTGCAGGGCACGCATGTCTGCAAGATGTTGCTCCAACTCCGTCGCCAATAGCCCAAGACGACTCAACTTCTTGGAGTACGTGGACATGATCTGCGGCCGCTCATCCTCGCTCACAAAACTCGATTTCACTTGCTGTGACATGCTCGACGTCGCCTACCGGATCTCAATGTCAAGCTCCTTCGAATCAACATCTCAAGCAGTGGAAGGTGCATTGATACACATCAACCCAACACGTCACCTGAGGAGCTGCCTTCAGCTTCGACATCTGAGGACGTGTGTTCCAAGAAAGACGTTCCTTCGACATTGACACTAAAGCCATGCAGGTTTTATCAAATCATGTACAGTATACCAGGACCTCTAAGAGGCTATTTATAGACACCTGCGACACCTCTTGGAAGGTCCTGGTATATACTGTAATCGTGTTAGGATCTCTTAGCAGGTGAATCTGACCGATCCTCAACGCTGAACTGCTCCAAGCATCCCACAGGTGCTCATAGACTTCCTCCAGGACACGTTCAATTCTTTGAGCTCGTCGAGCACGGAGCACCGACCAGAGTAAGCGAGCGGCCACCACAAAGCCTCCCAAGCCAAGTGCCAAAAGTGGCAAGTGCCACCACACCTCACCGGAGACGCGGAGTGGTCTCGCGGGCCACGTCTCGTTCCGAGCGGGAAGAAGTGGTAGATCAAGTTGGCCATGGGAAAGGTGGGGTAGAACGGGACTCTATCTCCCTGGGTCCAACTTTGGGCAAACAAAACTTCGAAAATGGGCAAGTGGCCAAACTTGAGAAAAGAAATGAATTGGAACAAGATGGAACAGCCATTTGTTTCTGGTGGTTTGGCCACGAAAGATAGATGTGCCTCAAAGCTGATCGATCTGCTGTCTTAGCTTGCTAGCTTCCTACCTGGCACCTAGCCGGTGAGTGCATCACCAAAACCTCGAGCTAAGCCCTGGCCCTGAACAGAAGTCATCTGCCCAGTGTCTCTGGTCGCATTAGCCCAGACACGCAGTGGTTGTCCACCAACGCCAACGGGAAGCTGCAGGCCACGCACTGGTCGACACCGCTCGTGGAATAGTGGAACATGGGACAGTCTTCACATGTGCCGCGGTCTTCAGATGGAATTGAACCTGGCATGGTGGCCATGGATCAGGTGATACCAGGTGGCAACCCGGTGGTTCAATCATGTTCCAATGCCAAGGACTCAAGACAAGCTCGAAGACCACATACAGATCTTACAGGCCCGCCTGGAGGGCATGCTTGGCAAAAGCCCTGGACTCCATAAAGCCCCGGTCCACAAGGATCGCACTTGAGGTGATTCTGGTCAGGTCCCCGGCCGGCTGAGCAGGGTGGCGCCATCCTTGCATCAAACATCTGATCATGGCCTCGGCTGTTGGCGGTCAAATGAAGTCTCAGCATCACATCTCTGCTAGCTCAGTTGGATTCACTTGCTTTTAGATCGAACAGTTCGTGCTTCAGGGCTGGGCATGAGCGAGGTTCCAACCACAAGCTTTCAAGCTACAAACTTGACTGGGCCGGGGTGCTGTTCAGAGAGGAAATGTTCCATGAACCGATCGATGTGTCAAAGGCCGCTGCCGCATAGAACATCCAATCCATGCTTTGCACCGCGCACGTATCCCAAGAGCCAATGAGCTGGTTGAACACAGAGGCTCCGTGGAACATGTGACTCAT